CTAGTAATGTTGTTATATCAAACTTGACCTTTTTGAATGCCCCTGCTTGGAACATCCATCCATCGTATTGCAGGTAGCCCACCCCCAGTATACCATGTGTTCCTAGTAATTCTGTTCCTAGTTAAACCACTATGGGCCTGGATTTAATATCTTTTGGATGCTAAGAATTGCTTCTTTTATGCAGCAATGTGGTTGTTCAGAACATAACTGTTCATTCTCCTTCCAAGTCACCTTACACCAGTGGCATTGTTCCAGGTTTGTTTAAATGCTTCAGCCATTATCACATTCCTTTCATCTTCATATGATCTTTCAAATGTTTACTTGCTACTCTCTCTGATCCTAAATTATCAAGCAATATGGGGTTTATATTATTTATCTATACTCTGAATAAATTTGAACCACACACGGTTTGTATTCTTAATATCCGTGCCCGACCAAATTGCATACTACGTCCGTTCTTAAATAGTTGCAACATTAGAAATTTTACACTATTCATGTGCTCTAGTTTGATTGCATTTATTTTATTAATGCTTTTAAAATTTAATTTTTTAAAAATATAGTTAATTCTTCCATTTTAAATTTTCAAAATGGGATTTTTATAAAAAATTAACATATATTAATGGTCAAAGTTGTGCGTTAGCAAACATGAAAATGGAAGTGTTGCAACTAAAAAAGAACGGAGGAAGCATTTATTTTGGGACATATGGATTATAATATAAAAATATGTGCTTATGTGTGTACTTTACATAAACTAACTTTCATCTTGACTTCATGAGAAATTGAGAACAAAATTAATACAAATGGCTTACAAAGGGATAAGCTCTACATGGCTACATTGAATAAACTATGTAAATCAACAAGTATTCCTTTAATGCTAGTATGAAACCTCAGGGTCTTAGTAGGAAAGCGGAGCTTGTTAAGCTCAGATGGAAAATGGATCCGGTTAAAGTTTCAATGAGTACATGAATTTCTAAATTGGTCCGCTCTAACGAAACACCATGTGAATGAACGTGTTAAGGGACAAATCCTTCATATGAATACCTATGATTTTTATCCCTATTGGTGACATAAAGAGTTTTTTTTGTAGATTCTTCGGAACATGTGTGCATCGAGAACAGCAACATTAGCATGGGCCATGATGCGGTCGTTCTCAAAAGCGGGTGGGATGAGTACGGCATTGCCTATGGTAGACCAACGACAAACGTCCATATTCGTGGGGTGCGCTTAAAGTCTACAGGAGGAACAGGAATGGCCATTGGTAGTGAGATGTCCGGCGGCATCTCAGATGTATTAGTGGAGAACATTTACTTGCACGACTCTTCAGTGGGGATTGAGCTGAAGACTGCCAGAGGAAGGGGTGGTTATATAATGGACATTCTATTCACCAATATAGTGATGGAAAATGTTAAGTTGGGAATCCATGCCACAAGTTACTACGAGTCCCATCCAGATGACAACTTTGACCCTAACGCGCTCCCCGTGGTAAAAAATATTACCTTTGTGGACATAAGTGGCACAATTATCTCCATAGCTGGAACTTTCAAGGGATTACCTGAATCACCCATCACTTCAGTGTCCCTTTTGGGTATTGCCTTTACCATCTCATCTATTTCCCAATCAGACCCTTGGATATGCTCTAATGTTTCTGGTTTCTCATCTGATGTGTCACCCGAACCGTGCCCAGAGCTTCAGAACCTGCAAGACACATTCAATCAAGTAGCAGTCATGTAAACCATTTGCATAGAAACTTATTCAATGCATTGAATCTCAGGGAGACAGACACATTCTTTGCTGGTGTATAATTTTCAAATAATTGCAGAAGGCAAGTTCAAGCTTCAAGCAGGTATATTTGTCAGAAATCGGATTGTATCATCTTCTGTACAGCATTGTTTTATTTCATCATTTCATGTGTAAGAAAAGTTTTGGTAGTGCAGTCAGTACATTATTCACATTTTTTTTTTAAATTTCTGCTCCAATCTTACATTTGTAAATTTGGGCATGGAAACTGCTCGTGATTGTATCGTTTTTGTGCTGTGAAAGGTGTTGCTCCAATCTTGCAATAAAAATTTTAAGCTGTTTGATTATAACAGGATTTTGTTGTGACAATTATTAACTGGCTGGAACCAAACCTATGTTTGTGGCTGTGCCAAGGCCCTTCTGGATCTAGCTTAAATGATGAGTCTGCTATTGTTTTTTAAAGGAAAAGTGTTTGGTAACATCTATTTTGCCAGATAGAAGTCAAAAGTTGCTTGTTGTACGGATAATCAGATCAAGCTGATTGCGGTAACAAACAGAGCTCTGCCATATACGGAGTAGTATTCATTTTTATTTGATCTAGTGTGGTTCATCTGCCACTTTCGTTATTTTAATCTAACAAGCCATTGTAGGCTGCTCCGAAACTGCAAGTCACTTTAAAATGGCTCATCTAAAGTCATAAAAAACTCATCTGATTTTTCATTTGCTAGATTGCTACTACCTCCGTCCCTTTTATATTGGGACGGAAGATGGTGTCACGAATTTTAAGAAAAGTGGGTTTGTGTGGTTGATATTAATGGATAAAGTAAGAATGATTTTGAGCAACACAAACTTTACCAAATAAGGTATGAGACAATTAAATAGGGACATCTCAATATGGTAAAACGGGACATTTAAAAGGGGACAGAGGGCAGGGGCGGAGCCAGAAAAATGACTCAGCGGGGTCGAAATCAAATTTACATAGAATGAAAATGGTAGATTATTTTTAGACAATACCCGAATTGAATGTATCTTAGATAAATGATAGTTTAAATGAAACTAATAGAGTATATGTAGTTAATATACTTCGTATATGTCACATATATTATAAACTTGTTTTATACGGGTTGAGTTGAGTACCTCGGATGAGATCCATTGTCTTACCCTAATACTTTATGGTTCTCTTCGATCTTACTCGGTTTAGTATCAAGATTTCTTACTAGAAAAGAATCATTTATTGAGTAAGCACTCGTAGCAGTAAGATATGTTGTTTTTGCTCTATACCTAAGTCATGTCACGTAAGTAACGAGTGAATTACACGCTATTTTGTGAATATAATTAATACTACGTATTACGCATCACAATTTTACTAATTTCAAACTTAAATGATGCTGATTTTGCAGAAACCATAACTTTTTACTCGTAATGAGTTACGAGAGCCATAATATATCAAATCGAAGATGATTCAGAGCTCTACACTCTAAAATTTTCAGCGGGGTCGGATGACCACCCTGACCCCCAGTAGCTCTGCCCCTGACGGAGGGAGTACTATTTAGCCGAAATACTATATGTACAAAGTAGGGGTGAGTTTGGTTCAAATGGTTCGGTTTTCACCTAAAACCAAATACCGAACCAAAGTAAAAAGTTTGGTTCGGTTCGGTTCGGTTTTATGTTCAAAAATTTGGAACCACGGTTTGTTCGGTTCAGTTTATTTCAGTTCGGTTTTGGTTTTTTCGGTTTTTACCAAAGTATTTTTGTTGATTAGAAAAATAGTAATTGAAAAACATAAACAAAAAAATAAACTACACCAAACTATTTTTTATAATAATACAATACAAAAACATACATAATCAAAAGAGAGAAGAAACAAATGCACTTGAAAGCAATGAACTAGAGAGTATGTATATACCAATTTAAACATTTTCTAAATTATTTAAACGCATGAGTTTATTTAAAAGTTTTTTCGGTTTTTACCAAAGTATTTTTGTTGATTAGAAAAATAGTAATTGAAAAACATAAACAAAAAAATAAACTACACCAAACTATTTTTTATAATAATACAATACAAAAACATACATAATCAAAAGAGAGAAGAAACAAATGCACTTGAAAGCAATGAACTAGAGAGTATGTATATACCAATTTAAACATTTTCTAAATTATTTAAACGCATGAGTTTATTTAAAAGTTTTTTCGGTTTTTACCAAAGTATTTTTGTTGATTAGAAAAATAGTAATTGAAAAACATAAACAAAAAAATAAACTACACCAAACTATTTTTTATAATAATACAATACAAAAACATACATAATCAAAAGAGAGAAGAAACAAATGCACTTGAAAGCAATGAACTAGAGAGTATGTATATACCAATTTAAACATTTTCTAAATTATTTAAACGCATGAGTTTATTTGTGAATTATATACACAATATTTACGAGTTAAAATTTTATTAGTAAATAACTTAATCTACTTTTTTAGCCAAATATATTTATGTTGTTTAAAGTATAGTTTATAATAATACATATTTGTTCGATATAAAAAATATGTGATAACAAACATACATAACATATAATATATCAACAAAGTATCATTGTCATGCAACAACAAACAAAATGTAAATTACGATAGAATTTCAAATATTAACGTATTAGTATTATAGTAATAGACTTAAGTTTATGTACAAGTGTTTCACTTAATCAAACAATAAATATAAAATGTCATTATCTTGCAAATTATAATAAATCTAGTATCAAACATTAATTTTCTAGAATTAAGAATTAAGAACTAAACAAAATATTATACTTAATGATTAATAAATAAAATAACAACTTTTAAAAAGTTCGGCTTTTCGGTTCGGTTTTGAGATGTGGAAACCAAAACCGAAACCAAACAACTACGGTTCGGTTCGATTTTTTGAGTTCGATTTTGGTTTCCTTGCGGTTCGGTTGTTTTGGTTGCGGTTCAAATTTTTTCGATTCCACTCCCCTGGTAGAAACTAGAAAGTGCAGCCGACTCACAATTAATTGCCCCTTTTGGCGGGACTGATTTCTTTTGTCAAGCATTATCTCAAAGGAGGACAATTGAAGACGTATTTCAATTATTATTACCAACCATTCAGTCAAAGCAATCAAATGAGAAAAATTCTGACAGAATTATAGAGGGCAAGTTACCACTTACCAAGGGGGGTCGGACACACTTTTACCTAGCATAGAAGCCCCTTGGGATTTCGGCACATGAGGCGGGTTTACATATAAAAAACTCAAGTAATAAGATGAGCTGTGAACTTCATTAGTAGGCAAAACCACCGTACTATATTCATTTGAGAAACCCAGAAAGTGTATAAGTTGATGAAATTTACAACAAAAACTCAGAGTTAACTCAGAGTTGTTACATAAGCTGTGATTTTTCTGCTGCAAGCAGTAAACGAATGCAGAAGGAAACTAAGTGTGGGAATCACTAAAACACTATACATCCTTGACACTCAACTCCCAATAAAAAAATTTAAGAAAAAAATAAAGAATCAGTAGAAAACAGCAACATATCTCACAATCATAATGGATCCTCCTTTACTTTCGGTTCCCAGCTTTACGTTTCATTTCAACTGCAATTGCCTGTCTACTAATTTGATGAGGATGTTGGACACTCCCATTTTTCTTTCTTGAGCCTGCTTTATGAGCGGAGGCCCCTGAGTGCGGGCTTTTTACCGGTTCTATGCTTGGTTTTGGGATCTTTGACCTGACACTCTGTTTTGAGGGATTGAGTTGCCATAGGATATCCGGATCGGATGAATCACTAGTTGCAGGATCAAGCTCTTCCAAATCATCAGTTGCAGGGAATAGGTTACGTGGACTACCGGAGACATATTTCTGGTGAAGGATGCCATGCATTTCTCCATTTTCTGCGCCCCAACCACCAAAGGGTATAGGTTCTTGTTTGTTGACCATGACCTTGTCCACCCACCCACCCGAGTGAATGGTATCTTCCAGAATATGATTCCCTCCAGGACTGTTGACAGGTGGCCAGAGCGGAGCTATTCCATACATTTGATCAAGATCAAAGCTTTGTTGCCTCTTTGCCCTCAGTGCAGAGCTATTCACCTGCAAACAATTAGAGGCCATGATACTCATGAACAGGAAAATTGTAACAATTGTAATCACAGTAAAACCAAAAAATAAACACTCCATCCGCCCCAAAAAGAACTGACAATTTTTGTCCCAAAAAATAAGATCCAGTTCTTAATCAAACAAAGCTAATTTTGTTTATGTTATTTGCCAAAACAGAATAAAAGACGAGTAACATATTACGGAGTATAAAGCTAGTTTGACCAACAAATGCAGTTTAAAATGTAAGTCGTGCATTATACACGACAAACAATCTTACCTAAATTAAAAAGTTGTGTAACGGTCAATATGCAATAGTATAGTCTTTTTTTAGATGGATGCAATTAATAGTGGGACAACCTGGTACGCACTGGAGTTCCTGCAAAGCAAGGGTCTGGGGAAGGGTCTCACCACAAGGGTCAGTCAATTGGGGCAAACATTCCTTGTCATTTTGACAATAGGCTGTTCCCAAGACTACCCGTGACGTCTCGGTTACACAGCAACACCTTAACCGTTGCACCAAGGTTCCCCCCTCTAAATATATACGGAGTATTAAGGGTATTTAAGACAATTCACTTTGAATCTAGTATTTTTTTATGCTATAAATAAAAGTCTAGTCATTTTTTATGTCATAAAGTCTAACGAAATGGTCAGTTTTTGTCTAATCAATTTGTTTTAGTAATATTCTTGGGAAAAAATAGTAATATTCTTATTAGTTTCTCTAAAAATGGTAGCTCTACTTGCACCTGTAATGAAAAAATGGCTCAATTTTTCTAAATTTTATTACCTCTATATTGCCTACTTCCTCCATTGGTTTCCTTTGATTGTTAGATCCTGCCAGCATGTTACATGGACTGTCAGGCATCTTTTGGTGCACTGTCTCCATTTCCCTTTTAGCTAAAGTTGCCTTTAGACTAGCTATCTGGCAAGGCAATGCAATTTATTCATGAGAGATTGAAGAAAGATGTATTTTACTTGTGATTTTAAATAGGAAAACAAAGAAACATTGTCACCTGTTCTTTAAGCTCTTTCACGTTTGCAGAATCTTTGTTAACTCTTGCAGCACCGAGTTCCACGGTAGCAACTCGTTCTGCAAATTTTAATGTACTAATTGTTTCCCCTAAGGCATCAGGTTCAGGGCTAATGTGAACAAACATCAGTGTTTTGGCCTGACCTCCTATTATTATAGTTTAAACACAAACCAAAGATCAGAAGATACACAAGCAAAAGGAGAGAAAAACCATAATCATTTTCCTTTCATCATAAATCATTACCAAGGGAATCTTGAAGAAGCTGTGTAAGTTTACTGTTCCGGTAAGGGACATGTGTGTTCTTTTGGGCAAGTGCAGAGATGACATCACCAAGAGCGGAAAGAGATCTATTTATGTGTTGTGCCTCCTTGAGTCTATCTCCTGTAACTTCAGATTTGTCCACCCTCTCACTTCCTGCAAGATCAACCAAATGCATACAACCAAGAAGAATCTCTCCAGTAGTGAGGTCTTTTCCTTGTACATGAACGGTTAAGCAACTGCACAAAGCAAAATCTACAAAAATCAGCATACCAATAAAAGAAGTTTAAAACAAACCAATGAAAGTGGTAGTCTGCAGAAAAAAGGTAGTTCTTCCTTCCCGTAAAAAAACAGAATTCTGTTTAACGGTAAGGCTTTAATTCTATTTGTTTTTTGTTTTTTTGCTCAACTAAATTTATCATATTTACCTTGTCCACGACTCTTTTTTGACAAATTATATACTAAAAATTGATTAATCAAACATGACTTTTTAGACAAAACATTTTTGAAAGGTGTCTCTTTTTGGGCCAGATGGATCACCTGTGAGAACGGCTACTTCGGTCATTGAGTGCTGTTGCCCCTACTGCTCGGTTCTTCTGCCCTATGTTCATGAGATCTATAATATCTGAAGTTGAAGTTACACGTACAACACTTGCATGAGGTACAGCGAGTCCTTGAGAGCTACTACGGATTTCTAGTGTAATAATTTGATTAAGGAATACACAGCAAAATGGCACATTTTATGCAAACCGCGGCTGACCAATAGATAATTGTTATTGTGATGTTTATACAACAACAACAACAACACCCAAGCCTTAGTCCCAATAGAGTTTGGGATAGGCTAACATGAACCGACATATGAAATTGAAGCTAAAATATTTTGATGTTCATTATATCAATAAAAAACTTCAAAAAGTGTCATGAAGGATATCTTTTGTTCAAACCATCAGAATCAAGGAGGTCTCTGACTTGTTCATTATAAATCTCGATCATTTGAACAGATACATCATAATGGAAAGTGTCCTTTCTTTGCTCTACAAGTAGGAATAAATCTCCCAAGGCCCTGTAGTTTACCCCTTCATTTTCCTTACTGAGATCGCTAGGTCCACTCTGAGAAAGAGAGCATGCAAAGTCAGTGGAGAATGACAAAAGACTAAAGACTAGTTATAGAGAAGGTTTTCATATCTTACCATGGTAAAAGTTTTCCCTGACCCTGTTTGACCATAAGCAAAAATACAAACATTGAATCCATCAAGAACTGATCTGATTAATTGTTGAGTATCTGCAAACACCTCCCCTGAAAATAATAATAATAAAAATAAGATGTAAAGATCGCAATGAAGAGAATTAAGAAATAATATAATGTTATATTAAAAATCATAAAGACAACACACTGCCAGCCGACCTTGAGTTGCAGATGGCCCAAATACTTTGTTGAAATTGAAGGACCGACTTCCTTTCCCATACTTTGAAGGAGTGTGAATTGTAATTTTACCTTCCTCAATTCCATCTATGATACTCAAATGACTTGGCTGTCCATTTAAGAAAGGCCTTACTCTGCAATATACCCTAATACTTCCTGATAGCATACAAAGTTTATCCTTTTAATTTTAAGATTTGGACACCATATATATGTGATAGGAGTTTCATAAAAACAACAATCAATACCTTTAAGATCTTGGACTTGATTGTAAAGCTTGCGGTTTTCTTCAAGAACTCTATGATAGCCTGAAGCTGCATGTGCAAGGCCATATATGTGTTGTCCTACAAAGAAAGCATGCAATTAGAATCCTTGGAAATGCTATTGGAAAAACTTGATCACCTCTAGGAATCCTAGAGGAAGAAGAGAAAGCCAGAGTGGACATACAAAAAAGTGAGTTAGATTGCAATACTTTATACTTACCAATATTCTGAACATCCTCATAAAACTTCTTCTGCATGAACTGCATGCCTGCTTTTGTAGTATGAAGAGTTTGCTTAAGCTCCTGCAGTAAATTTCAACAAAGGTCATTTTCACGAAACTTTTCAGTCTATTTGTGGGAAAAGGGTTCAGTAGACAGGGGAATTAGTTTTTACGTCTCACCTTAAGATCTCTTTGTTGTTGATCAACAATTGTTTGATGCTGTGTCCATATTCTTTTAAGTTCTTCTTCATCAATGATACAGTCCTCTTTTTTCATCATTGCCATATTTGTCTGTTCAACCTTAGTTCAACAAACACAAAAGAAAATCAAGCATTAATTACAGTATTTTATTGAGCATATTTTTTGCAATTAAATAGCAAATTTCATCGTAAACCTGGACCTGCAAAAGCATCAATGGTATACCTTTTTGTTTCTAAATTCACTAATGGAGGTTGGCTTGTGAGCAAGAGACATAGCTGAGTCATTGACAGTTTCTCTGGTTTGCTGCATTTATATCAGGTACATGTCATAATATGAACTAAAGAACTGAGAGAAACAATACCGTTACATAGAATAAAGGATATTAGCATTTGAAAAGGTTCCAAACAGATTGCACAACATGTTTGTCAAAGAGGAAAGGCGTAAAAAAATCACTTATTAAAGTATCTTACTGCTTCAATTTGGCCTGCCACACGATGCTCAAACTCATCAACAACCTTCTTTAATATAGACTCTACAAGCTAGTAAACAAAAAGTAGTTTGAACACATAATCAATATACAACCCAAAAATGATACGGTAAGACAACATTATGTATGACTCCAAACTAAGTTTTAATATTGGTATCAACATTTTGCCACAAACAAAATTAGGAAAGTTATTTTGGGTCAGCTAACTTGGTTAATGACCAGTTCATTTTAAACAAGGCTCTGTCTACTAAACTAACTGATCGAGCTTGTCACACATGACGGGCAGAGCATTGGGCATCATGTATGACTCCAAAAGGTATGGCTTTATAATTACATACTGCTTATATAGTATAGTAAATAAGAAGTACTAATCCAAATGGAAGGTTTTGTAACACGTATATAAGATCTGTCTTAAACCTTTTCCAGCACCTAGTTTATAGATAGTATAAACCAAACTGTTAGCTTTACAATGTCTACATAGGAAACTTCTCAGACTTACACATTATACTCGGGAAGATAGAAACTATGCGAGTATTTAGGGACTTACATTTGGAACTTCTTCAGGCCTCTTATCTGAAAGAATTGTACGGACAAGTGTGCTCAAAGAAGAATTAGGCTACATAACAAGAAATGTTTCAACAATTAATCCCTTGAATTTATTGATTCATAATCCTATCTCAATAAGTAAATCTTACCTACCATTGTATTATTCTCAGCCTCTGAAGCACTCAAAGATTTCTCATTCATTGACACTGCCCTTGACAAAGAGTTCATGAATGGTTCTGATTTTTTTCTCACGAGTTGTTTTGATGATGCAGTTGGTTTTACATTTCCACCAAATTTCCAGATAGGCGTAGCACCTGTTTGTTTCCAATCGGCATATGATTTGAGACCCAAAACACAGTTGACAATCCTAGAAGATGCCCCTCCCTGATAAATTATAACACTTAGTATCATACTCATAGATGCTAAAAAACTATTTCAAATTTCCAGATAGGCGTAACACCTGTTTTATGCATCAAAATTTTGTTGTGCTCAAATTTTATTTTGTGGTTGAATAGGAAGCTTATTGCATTATGTGAATATGTAAATTGTAATTATTATTTATAAATTAATAGGGGAAAGTTAGCTCAATTCAGTCAAATTCTCTGATCCTATATGGGAACTTCAAATTGAGAGCATCAGTTTTCAAGATCTCATAATGATGCATTTTTTTAGAGATAATGGTTAGCTGACAAGTTCCATGTCTCACTCATTGAGGTCCGGGACTCCGGGGAGACGAGTCTCAAGCAAGCGATTGCCTAGTTATTTCCTACAAATCAAAATATGGATTTATATTGCAGAAGATAGACCTACTTGCTCCATATCAGATGCCTCAAAGCTTGGGATTCCCAACTCATTCACTGCTACCAGAAAGTTCCTCAAGTTTTCAAAGTACTGATAGGCAGATAAAGCTGCTCCGTCTGGGATCAGCATGGCATCACAAGGGCATTCAACCACCTAAAATTCGGCACATCATATTCAGCTCAACCTCAATGAGGGATAACACCATTATCAGTTTACTTAAAGATGGATTTAGATCTACCTTGACCACAGCCCTAGGTTGGATCTTGTTGAGTGCATTACAAAGAATGATTCCGTTCCTTAAGGCAAGCCTGAATTCTTCCTCGGATGGCTCTGCTGGCAGATCCTTTGCTCCCACCACTCCCACGATCTTTCTCAACCATTTTGCTGCTTCATACCTCCTCATTGCTGCATACAATGAGGTTCATAATTTACAGAGTGAGATCGCAGTTCACTAGACTGACACTAAATCCTACTAGACTGCTTATAATCTTCCCATCTAGATCGCTAAAATTTAATTTCGTCCATTTCACAAAGCTAAATTAACCATGAATGGCGGGAACGGGTAAAAGGAAACATTACCAGCTTCTTCCGCACGACGAGCGTCCAAATCGAGACCGCATGATCGAGTCCCGTGCTGCTGAAGTACGTCCTCCACCAAGGACGCCACCGAGTATGAGAGTGATCCACCGGCCGCCATTATTGCAGGAACAGAAACCAGTAAAATATTCAAATGATCCGGAAGAAGCTGATAAATTCAAATTCGCAGCATCAAAGTTTTTCAGAATCTGGCAAAGTGAGAGAGCTGAGAAGGAAGAAATGGATAGGAGTGGAGATGGTTAAAGAAGGTAGAAGAAGACCGTTTGGTGAAGTAGATTAGGAACTTGCTTCGTCTCCTCTGCTGGCATTCAAAAAGCGCACCATAATAATGCTTTATACAAAAGCTTGATGCTCTGTTTTTTTCAAGTACATATCTTTCCCCCAAACGGCCACAACGTTTCCGAGCCTCAGTCCGGGCCTCCTGGCTCGGGGTACCTCCTTTATCTCGGAGGTATTTTGATTTTTGAATATCGAATCCAATAGAAAGCGCGTCAGACTCACGGTGGGCCATTACGGTGCCCTTCTTTCTATTCCGCGCTATTTTTATACTCAAGTAACGGGAATAGGCAGGGACCGTTTCCAAAATGTTTTTCAATTTCTTTAAAAGAGATTAAAATATTATTCTCAATTTCACATGTTTGAATAGTTGAATTGATTCCAATTTCCGTACGGAGTCTAAACAGATCAAGTTAGAGCAAAACTTTGACATGACATTAGTTAAAGGGAGAAGAGTCAAAAATGACACTAAACTTTTTAATGAATCTCGAATTGGACATTAAACTTTTTAATAGACCAAATTAGCACATATTCTACCTTTTGCGTAGCTTTTACGCCACTCACTAACATTTCTGTTAAATAGGCGTTAATAAGGTTTGTTAACAAGGTTTTTTCATTCTATAAGTTATTATTAAAAAGGAAAAGTCTGGATTCCTTAGAGTCTGGTACTAACTAAAATGTTTTTCAATCGTTTTTCTTTCCTTCTTCACACCGCCCGGATTTCTCCTACGATCCATCCAACCAAAATTTTCAATTTTTTTCTTTCATTCTTCACACCGCCCTTCTTCTTTCCAGGCCACAAGGTAAATTTGCTAATCACCTTTACTCTTATTTGCTTCTCCTGTCCAACATGGCTTAGTCAAACTAGACTTTAAGTTCCCTGCCTATTCTTTTCCTCAGAGCTATAATAGTTGTTGGTATGAGGGAACAACTTGTACATAAGATTCATTGTTGAACCCACAATGGATTGCGTAATCCTTGCACCAAGTTTTATCCTAAACAATTTCAAGAGATTTTCTATAGAATCCCACTTGAAACTCCCAATTCAAGATAGGTTTAGGGGTCATGTTTTTAGAAAATCCAAATCTAAATACAAAATACTCTAAACATTCCAGTATGTGAATATTCACATAGATTTATGGATGACCTAGATTTAGGGTCTATTCCTCCAACCGTCTATACAAATAACCTAAGCCCTGATTTCTTAAGCTTTGAAGAACCTAAGCCCTCCCTTCCTCCTGAACTGGGATTAGGATTTCCGGGTATGAAATCCTTGCCATTGACGAGCTTCTCCTTATCCTTGAAGCTAGCTATATTGGACGCCGGAGACGAATTACCGGAAGAGGCGTTTTCTTGGATGCAGAACCGAACTTCGGCTTTTTTTATTGGTTTGGATTGGAGAATTGGACTAAACACGGCGAATTTCTTCTAAACACGGTGGAGATAACAACGGACTAGGAAGACCATTGTCCTTTCTTTGAAAGGAGAACTTGAGAAGACATTTAACTTCTGCTGTTTCTTTTGTAGTGGTCGTGTTTTGAAATGCCGTTAAAAGGAAAAGTTAATCGGTGGCTGAAATGCAATGAATAAGTTCGAATTTGTGTTAATTTGGTCCAATAAAAACCTGAATGTCCAATCTGAATTTCATAAAAAACCTTGATGTCATTTTTGGACCTTCTCCCTTAGTTAAATATACGTAGAGCAATATCAATTATCAACCTGAAAAGATCACATTTCGACAACAAAAAAATACATGTATCAATAAAAAAAGAAATATTAATCAAATTAAAATCATCTTTAAAGTTTAGCCACTAATCAACTATTACCAATTTTTACTATTTATCAATTTTATAATTTCTAAAATAAATAACTTACAAGCAAACATATTTGCCCGTTCCATAGTTAGCGAATTGTTATGTGAAATTGTGAATTATAACAAAAATAATCTTATGTCTAATCCTGGAGATGTGACCAATTCAGGGTATTTTTCTACGTGTTTTTGAGCTATCAATATAAGCCCTTGTTCTTAAAAAATGACGCATATGGTGTGATCCGACATAAAATAGGTGACAGTGAGGCAGAATGCACACATGTTATGAGAGAAATAAATATATAAAATGTTACTAGTAGTAAACAATATCTTTCTCTTTTTATTTGAAACGTCTTATATATTTTTGGTATGTTTTTCTCGGTGTTAAGACTCAAGACAATTGCCTAGAGGTAGATATCATAGTTGACATCATTGTGAAAAAATTACCAAAAACATATTCCCCCGTCCCGGAAAATTGTTCCCGCATTGACTTGGAACGGAGTTTAAGAAAGTGGGAATAAAGTGGAAATGTATGGTTGTGGTTGAGTAAGAAAAATGTAAATGAATTGTAGCCACAAAAAACATTCCATAAGGGGAAAGTGGAACAATTTTTTGGGACGGCCCAAAAAGGAAACTGAGAACAATTTTCCGGGATGGAGGGAGTATAAAATTATAGGAAAAATACAAAAATGACATTGATTTATTTTTTACATTGATTTCTCATTGTTGCATCAGAAATGCTCTAAAACATGAATAGCTCAATTCTTGTACCGCTTTATATCAGTAAATATAAATTAAAGAAATTGTCCAAAATAGGACTAAAACATAGTCAAAACTCCAAAATAGGATCATAAGTTTATTATTCCCCAAATAGGACTCCTGATTACAATTCTACCCTTCATTTAATTAAACCCATCAAATACCAGAAGATGCCACCGACTACCTACGCCTGATACAGATGAGATGCCATCACCTATGAAGAAAGATCCATGGCGATTTCCTTGCTTCCAAAGCCGCAACGCGCTTGTCGATACCACTACCATAGCCGCCGCTCGTCGATGCTCAACCATTACCACCGCTAGTCTTCTCCAATCTCCGGCGACCACGAGTAATTTTCTGTATCTCTTTTCCCTCCTCCTCCTTCTTCTTCTTCTCCTCTCTTCTCTTCTCTTCTCTTCTCTTCTCTTCTCTTCTCTTCTCTTCTCTTCTCTTCTCTTCTCTTCTCTTCTCTTCTCTTCTCTTCTCTCCTCTCCTCTCCTCTCCTCTCCTCTCCTCTCCTCTTCTCTTCTCCTCTCCTCTTCTCTTCTCTTCTCTTCTCTTCTCTTCTCTTCTCTTCTCTTCTCTTCTCTTCTCTTCTCTTTTCATTTTGATTTTGATTTTTTATTTTCAGTCCACTTTTCTTACTTTTGGGATTCTAATTTTTTTCAGAAAATTTGGGATGAGAAATTAAGACAAAGCCGCATTTTCTAATTCTCTTCAAATTTATTGTCCTTTGTTCTCTTCTTCTTTGAATTTTTTGGATTTGAAATTTTATTTATTTATCAAAATGCCATTTTTATAATTTGAGAATGTCAAAATTATTGGTTATTTGAAAAAGCTGTCACGTTTGTGACAGTATATTTATCAGGATGACAATCTGAAAATGTCATATATCCATAAGAAAATGTCATTCTTATGGCATTTTATGTCATTTTTATGGTTTATCTGAGAATGACTTAACTACTTGTTATTATAAATGACATGTGTTTTTGACATGTTTTTCAAAATGATGCCATTTTTATAGCAAATTCTTTCTTTAAAGATGACATTTTATTATTGATTTTTCTTTTTCCCCCATATTTTACATTTTCAAATTTAATCTTCCATAATTTTAATATGATACTATCATAATTTACATTTGGAAATGTCATGTTTTTTAATACAAACTCACTGGAGGGCGGAGCCTTGTTGGAGAATGATGGCAGCGAAGATTTGATGGAGAGTGGCGGTGGCTAAAGATTTGATGGAGAGCGGCGGAGGCGACATTGGCGGCAAACCCTGAACTCCCCTAACTCATTTTGGTCCTATTTCTGCCCAATAAAACATAATTGTCCTATTTTTACAATTTTATCTTCTTTTAGTCCTAATTAGAGAATTCTCTCTGCTCATGTGTCATATCTGGATATCGCTAATAACCTCCAGTGCATCAAACTCTAACTTCAATTTCACATTCTGGAAAAAGATATACCCCATAATACTCAATTACTCATGTTTAAATTTCATAATATTTTTACTTTTGTATTATAAAGGCACGATTTGGCAATATACAAACCCTCCACAAAAATCAGGAGCAAGTTTTTCCATACTAAGATTTTATTGGAGTACTGGTGTTATTCATCTGTGCAGGGCACGGAAAATTGGTGAATACCTATTAATTAGTGCTTTGAGCCTTTGACTAAAAAAAGACGGTGACACAATTTATGGCATTGATTGGCTTTAATCGTCACCACATATATGGTGGTGTTTAGACACCAACGTTTTGGCTAAATAGCCATTGTTTTAATGAAGGAAAACGCTGGTATTTCTAGGGGATTGGCTACAAACCGTCAATATTTCTAGGGGATTGGCTACAAACCGTCAATAAACAAACAAGTACATTACTCGGTTATTTCCCATTCTCCCAATGATTTTAGTTCTCTAGGTGAATAAACAAAATAACGGTGGCACGATTTGGTCCCAACAATATGAACCATATTTCCAAAAATAGTCCCTACCGGTTACAACATGGAACAACATGTCAAATTTAAATTTGAACTGTGTGTAAGTTATAAATAATCCCAACTATAGTCGATCTTCTTTTATTAATCTCAATTGTCAACACTCAATTTTAAGAAGATATAAAATTATTTCTCTAAATTTCCAAACTAAATATTTTTAAACAAGTAAAAATAATTATGAAAGTTGTACAAATGTACCGAAGTTAATAAAAATATTTTTTCGTCATTTTTTATTATTTAATTTCACTAGAATTTCTTTTTTTTTCAATTTTCCCCAGCCGCGTTAACAAGTCATTTTGTATTACTTTCCTTTATTCAAGTTTTCATTTTGTGTTTTAAAAAGGCAAAATGTGACTAATTTTTTACGATATAAATCTTTACATAGATTGTTTGATGAAAATATATGGTATTTATTTTTATGCTATCTTAATTCTAGAAATCTAAATTCTCTATTTTTTGCATTTTAGTATTTTAATTACTTTCTACGGAGTATAATTTCTTTATTTTATATTGTTATATTCTATAAATTAAATATTATT